ATGCGGTCTTTAGGTCGATGTGTGCTACGTGTAGAGCTTGCGACTAGGTCGTGTATAGCTATTTATCTAACTTGGCCAGTGCACCATCCCACATTTCTAGTTATCTTGGCTTTGCCCCTTTATAAGAATGAAGGGGTTGGTGTGGGAAGGTAAGGTGACTGAGATCCACCCAAAAGTTCCCTGTATTATAAACACACTTCGAAAACAATTCCCAACTGGCTAAAGCCTTTGGGAAAGTGAACGATCCTATGGATGTTTCTGCATTTTCCGATTTTCTCCCTTGATCTCATAAAGAATCTTTCGTAATGAAAGCAAACAGGCGAGTGCCGGAGCACAGTTCTTCTTGAACCCTGGCTTCCTGGGCCACAGTCGATTAAGAAGCGTAATGACCGATCCGATCCGAGACTTTGTCTGTATAGCGTAATTCGCCATGCGGGTAACTAAATTGTTGTGTGAAATCGAGCTAAATTGTCGAGTTATCATCACGCCAAGAATAGACAATGGCGATGAAATTTCTAGAATAAGCGACTCGGACGCGGACTACTGAGCAATAATCGCATCGTTTACGACTCTCAGCGATGAATGCGAGATTTTCGATTTAGGCAGCAGGAATTATGGTTCCAACAAATTTCCTGATGGCTTACCAACTGCAATCCGTCTTTGCATGACACGGATAAGGACTGGAAGCATACAGCAGTTTGAATTCTCACGAAATATCGGTATAAATCTGCTATTTGGAGTAGGTACTTAGCGGCATTGCAACTGCATTCTATTATTATTGCACTAACTGCCCCTTTGCCACATTTATTTGCGGCTGTCTCAGATTCTGGGTTCGAGCGAGAATCCTAAATATCAAGCCAATAACCCTCGTGGTCCGAATTTTACTGAGGTTGGTTCGTCAAGCACACTCTGTCAATGTCTTGAGTCGTGGCATAAAAGTTTAGGGTATCATTCTTTAAGTAATTTTGCGTAAATATCGCGAGGGGTACGTTTTTGTTCTTATACAATGGTTGTTTTGAATGAAGATGAAATACGGCGTACAGAGTTTTGAGAGACAGCTACTAGAAGCCATAACGGCTAGGGACATAAGAGAACATTACTGGGCGCATGTGAGGTAATGAAGAGAGTGACCTTATTTTATCCTCCCACCTTTATGATGGCTATTGTCAACCAGGCGTCCAATCATCGTGGCTAGAGCTGACCCGGTTGAGTGCTGCTCGCCTTTATTTGTCATAGCACAATTGTTATCGCGAAATACTGTCGATAGGTTCACCATCTGTATACCAGATTCTAGCGCCTTTCAGATTCGTGTTTGCTATCTGTGGAGTTGAACCCTAGTCTTTGAACGTCAATGAACTCCCTGCTAACTCTGCTACTGTCCTTCCTAGCGGCTTTGGAGCCATGGACTCTAGCGGGCTCTCTGAATTTTGGTAGCCATTTCCTTTTACTTCTATTCTTCATTCTATAACTATTAAACTCTCATAGCAATAATTGTACCCCAGCACCGAACGGACATCCGGAGAGCCACCAATTTGGCCCTCCAAGACAGTCAGGCGGCGGGAAATCTGGTCTCCGAAACAGTCACTGGCAAGGTCTACAAAACTTCTTCAGTCGACAGTGGCCTAGCTGTCGTCGATTTGATCAATCACAGTAAATACCGTCTGTCACTGTTATTGTAATTGTTTGCCCTTATTTCCTTGTTTTTCCGCAATCGCAAAGACTTTCAAATAAATTTTATGGAAGGCAGTGTATATAGGAAACAGTAAACAAACCTATGACACAAGTTTCGCACTTAAGACCCTCTTCCATGTTTATCCCAATGTGACCATAATTGTTAGATTCTGTAAACCTAATATGTCACGTGATTTTGGGGAGTGGTCAGCCTATGCTGTGAAATAGAAGAAGCTGGTAGTTAAAAATAGTATATTCATATCAAAACGTTTAAACCGATGCTCTCCACACCGAACAGGTGGGCTATCGCACGAAATGTTAACTGAAATTCTGGAATTCATTTTCAATTCGAAGAAATTATTTAGGTAGGATTGTACTAATTACCGCCACACAGCATAATCCCACTTTATTTCAGTCACGGTAGGATGCCGGCTTTTAAATGAATTTCCTTATGGTCGCCTGCCGTAACCACGCTAGGTAAAATATTACCACTCAATAAAAAGGAATTTTCCCGTGAATTGTTGTTGCCCTTATATGTGTAAATATATTTTGTAGAAAACATTCACAAAAACATTTGCATGCACTTATGTGGTGTCAACTTACGCCTCCTTCAAACCCTAGGCCTAAAGAAAGGACATATTTCGCTTTAAATAAAACCTTTATACAATTATCCTTTTGTACTCATTTAGTAGAGAGTTAAGTTTTGTGAGTATTTTATACTTGAAGAATACCTTTCTTCGGCTTTTAAAAGAATACTTTTTTTAAATTCCCCAAGGATTGATTCTCCCGATTCCCAAATCTTTAAACGTATTTTCGCTTAGAGTCTCAAATCTCAATGCTGTATACTTTTTATACAAAGAAAATCATGTGTTATTAAGAAGACGTTTTTAGGGTTCGTAATTCTGCGCAACGGATGTAGACCATGTTGTATACTTTACGCGTAGACGTAATAAGTGGACAGATGCGATGCCTTACGAAAGGACATTTCGCGTCCTCAAAAGTCTCCTCATGACCTTAAACATATCATAATTAGAAACTGTTATAACTAAAATATACCCTTTCTATGAGTCTACAATTCGAAGAAGACGTTACTTTCTACCAAATAAGTACAAAAAGACATAGTTTTATGTGTCCTTTCTATACGATAAAACTGAATTTAAAATGATATTAGAAATAAACAAGAAACTTTATATTACATAATGAGTCACTTATTCCGAGTCTATTCTATGTAACCAGTCGGAAAGGAGCTAATCCTCAATCG